CCGCCCTGCCGCCTGCTCCTCGTCCTTCTCTTGCTGCCTCCACTCGCCGCCTCGTCCCGGCCCCGCGCCTGGGGGGCTGCTGCACCCAGCGGTGGGTATGGACACGGTGCCCTTAGCGTTGCCTAGCTCTCGGGCCCTGCAGAGAAAAGCGAAGGGCACTCGGGTCCGTGCGCTCCTGACATCCTGGACTCGGCCTTTCGGTGCTTCCCGCCTGCCTCCCCGCTTCTCATTCCCAAACCCCCATTCATTCCAGCTCACTTTTTGAAGTCCTTTCGGTTACATTCAGTAGAAACCCAATCCGATTACGATCGGTTCCGCTGGGAGGCATTTCATAGATGCGGGGTCGCTTGGCGATCCGTGAGCAACTTGGCTCGGGGAAACTGGTGGAAGGGAAATGCAAGGAGCGAGTAAGTTGCTTCCAGGGTGGTGGAACCCTGTGTGAAAGCGGGAGGAGGCTGTAGTGATAATAGTGGTAATGGGCTGTTTCCTCAAATTTTCTACCGAATTTATTCACTGCTGTTGAATTAAGGAGGAGTGGTGGGGGAAAGGATACTTCAGGGATATAAACCTTTCGTTTGTGGTTTTCCAAAATGTTTGTCATTGCAATGGACAGCTGAGATAATGTAATATTTAATTCAGTGATGATTGGAATCGGTGAAAGGGGAAAGATGGCCTCGGCAAGAAGATTCAAAGAAGTTGGGAAACTGCCATCATCTGCATCCCTCTATGGCAAATGATCTTTGCTTCTCTCAAAGTTAAAAGAAAAGGGAATTGTCCATTTTGTTAAAGGATCCATTTCCATCCCATGTCCATAAATTTAGCACTGAAGTTATCTTACCAGCATTCTTAGCTCTCCGATGGGATACTAGTTAGAGTACCACCGAACTTCTGCAACCTTAGAGAAGGGGGAGGGGGCCAGCATCCCGAACATGTCCATTTAATGACTCTTCCTGAAAGTTCATTCTGCTTCTCCCCATAGTTAGAAATATAGGTAAGACTGGATATATTTATATATATATATAAGTTTATATATCACATCAATAAAAATAGAGTACATTTTTGTGACTATCATCCAGGCCATTTTATTGTTGCAATAATTTTTTCCACTGTCTCTATTTACCTGTGTATAGACAATTTTGGTTTTGCAATTAATGGAGAAATTGCATGTTAATATTTATGTATTCATAGGTTATATATGTGTGTTTGTGTTTGTTTGTGTTCCCTCCCCTCAGCTCCGCATTGGAATGAAACTGCAGAAAAAAAATTGGGAGTCCTGGCAGATGAAGATAATACATTGCAACAGAATAGCAGCAGTAATATCAGTAACAGCAATACAATGCAGAAAGAAATAACACTGCCTTCAAGACTCATATATTATATCAACCAAGACTCAGAAAGCCCTTACCATGTTCTTGACACAAAGGCAAGACACCAGCAAAAACATAACAAGGTAGGCAGGAGGCTTGGTATGTGAAAGTAACTGTCATGAAGAGTTTTTCTTTGATTGGATAGTCTGCCAGAATATAATTTCACAGATTTTACTGCAGCATTCAATAGGAAATCAATTAATATTATGATAAAGGAGCAGGAGAGGGAATTAACCTGGGATCTGGTGGGATAAGATTGCTGTTTGTTTCTTTTCTCTGACTCTAAATGGAAGTGGAATTTTTTTTTATAGTCTTATAAGTTTAGCAGCTGAAATGTGGTCCACGATCTTTCAGAGGCGTTAGACACTGAGCAAAAAGTGGAAATGTCTGTGGTCCTGACTTGTATCTGGGAGGCTTTATGTAAGGGTGCAGTATTCTACCTCCCATGATGAAAATTGCTCCCGTCTGCACACAGATTTCTGGAAGAGGCTGTTTGACCATAGATCTTGCACCAGTTTTGCACTTAAAAATTTAGTGCTTAAATTTCAACAATGTCTTTCTTTAATTGGGACTGAGAAAAATATCTTTTTCTGTTATATGTTTAGTAGGTAAACAAGCTGGTATTTTAAAAGATTATGATGAATATGAACACACTGCTTGTATATAAATGGATCCCAGTATTGGGCAGCATGATCCTTCAGGACTATCTGTATTTCTCGTGAGCACTTGCTTTACTTTCAGGTTGTTCCAGAAAGTGGCACTGACTTTTAAACAGGCGTTCAATGGAAGATGAAGGCACTTACTACCCTCGGAGCTTAAGGGATCTCTTTTTTTCCTGCTACTGTTTTTTATTTAAGTTAACAACATATTGGACCTCAAGCAAATTCACACAGTGGGTTATCGGTGTGTTTGTTCCTTATCAGGAGCAGAAAATAGTCTGGATAGCAAATATTTCCCTTTGAACTATACCTGTTTAGTGCAATGAGCAGTAACTATTTAGACATGAAATTCAAGAAAAGTATCAGTGGTTTTCTGCTTT